CTTTACTAGCTTGTGGTCTAACAAGTGTGAAAAGTCCTCTTTCTTTAAGAATCAAACTAGAAGTAATATTTTAAACCATTTGTTATTCTTGAAAAACTTTGACTTTTCTTTCTGCAGTTATGAGGTATGGTTTTATTTTAATTATAGAAAAGTTATAGTTATATATCTTGCACAACCACAACTGCTTCTTGTCCAGCTCTCATATTACTGTCTACTAGAGTTTTTCAAATGCATAATCCAAGATGCAAATCCCTAATTATCTTCATTCAACTTGTTTCCATCATTGGTTTTTGCCACTATGTAATTGGAATAAGAGGTGAAGATAATAACACTAGTGCTGTAAAGATGGATGTGGGAATAATTCTTGATCTGGAAACAGAAGTAGGAAAAGTAATGCACATATCTATCTTACTAGCTCTTGCGGATTATCATGCCAACACTAGTCGCGGTGCCATAAGGATAGTTCCTCATATCAGGGATTCAAAGAAAGATGATGTTGAAGCAGCATCAGCTGGTAAAATTCAGCTCTAAGCTTTACCTATGTTAAACTAGCATTATCTCTCTCTCTTTGCTTCAAAAGATTCACTTTTTCTCTAAGATATTACTTTTCCCTTTAGTTTTTCTATTTTGAAAGAGATGTTCAGACAATTACTTATAAGTCTGATTGTGTATGTGCAGCCATATACTTGCTAAAGGATGTCCAAGTGCAAGCTATCTTTGGGCCACAAATGTCTACTCAAACTGATTTTGTGATCGACTTAGGGAACAGAGTAAAAGTCCCTATAATTTCTCCAGCAACAAGTCCTTTACTTACAGTCAAGGAAAATCCCTTCTTCATCAGAGGAGCACTTCCTTCTTCCAGTCAGACTAAAGCCATTGCAGCAATTGTTAAAAACTATAATTGGAGGGAGGTTGTAGTAATCTATGAGGAAAGCCCCTATGGAACCTGGTAGATACTTCAGTAATTGAGTCATCAATGCAAGGTGTTCTGGGTGTAAAATCTTATGTTACAAGATCAAATGAGCTTGACATGTTCACCAAGAGATGGAGAAAGAGATTTCGTCAAGAGTATCCAGACATGGACCAAGTAGAACTCAATGTTTTCGGGCTATGGGCATATGATAGCATCACCTTATTAGCAGAAGCAGTAGAGAAAGTGGGCACTACTGCTATCCCAAAATTAAAGAAACCAGACACTAGAGAGAACTTAACAGACCTAGATGCACTTAGAACCTCAGAAGTGGGATCTCTGCTCATTGACTCTATGCAAAACACAGAGCTAAAACCAGGACTAAGTGGTGATTTCCGTATCATTGATAGAGAACTGCAGCCGTACCCATATCAGATTGTGAATATAATCGGGAAAGGAGAGAAAGTCGTTGGATTCTGGACAGAGAAGGATGGCATTTCGCATAAACTGAAGATGAGTGGTAAAACAGCTAAAACTAATAATAAGCAACTAGGGATCATCATTTGGCCTGGTGAATCTACTATTGTTCCGAGAGGCTGGGAAATACCCACAAGTGGGAAGAAGTTAAGGGTTGGGAGTTCCTGACAAAGGAGGGCTGGAGCAATTCATTAAAGTGGAAAGAGATCCAACGACACAAGCAGTAATTTCAACTGGTTTAGGGCCAGATGTCTTCAAAGAAGTCATCCTATCTTTGAAATATGATGTCCCTTACGAATTTATTCCATTTCCAATAGCACATAGCCCAACTTCTAAAAACTATGATGATCTTGTTCACAAGATTA